TAATATACAGGAATTACTAGAACATATTTTACATTTCTTAGCAGTAGATAAGTCACTCTATCCCACTCTATTTGTTTACCGGTTTTGGTACAGATGCAGTGCTCCCATTCTATGGAAACATATTGAGCTAAAGGGAAAAGGTAAGAAAATTACTGGCGACTGAATCGACCCCAATTGGAAAAATTTATAAAAATAGTGTGTAAAAGACAAAAACCAGTTTATAGTTCAAGTATAACACATCTTAAAATTTCATATTACCATTCACTTTCAGATAAAAAAATCAAAGACATTGTGAGTTTATGTCCAAATATAATCCATTTGAATTTTAAAAGAAGCACAGGTTTTTCTGATAAAGTACTAATTCTGATAACAGGAGCATACCCTAATTTAAGATATCTTAATTTATGTAATTATGCAAATATTAATACTATTTTTCCTCAAAAAATAACTGATAAAGATCTGTTTGCTTTAGCAAACGCATGCTATAAATTAGAATATCTAAATATTTATCTGCGTGCAGAGTTTACTGAAACATCAATCTGTGATATTATTCGTTCTTACTTAAGGCTTCAACATCTTGATCTTAGCTATTGTGAAGTTACTAATGAGATTATCAAGAAAATTGCTTGTTCATGTCTTAATTTAAAATACCTTAATCTGGATAGATGTGATAATATTAGCAAAGAAGCTGTAGATCAGCTCATTTCACTTAATCCAAATATCCATATTGAGAATTTTGAGAATACTATAATGCCAGCCTCTTTTGATGTCTTAGATAGGATATATGTACTTGCAAGGCGTCTGGGAATGCCACTTGATGTACCAAGAAATGTTGCATCTTTAGATAATTATATTAACGATGAATTAATAAAGAGATTGGACATTGTGAGTGACTTTACATCAGAACTACATGCCTCCAATACCCCGATTAACCAATTTGAAGTGGTGAATAGATGTCTATTTTTTATATTTGAATATTATATGCCATAATAAAATGGTATTCATGAATTGTGTAGTCGAAGAAAATATCCCTATTGAGGTATCAATTGATACATACACTGATGTAAATTGTATTAGCCAAAAACATATTGGTGAATTAGGAATTACATATCCCAGTGAAAGTAATAGTATTGTAACTCTGGATGCATCCTATTCCACATTAGGAAAAGTCAATCTGTATATTAGTTTTGAAGATGGTGAGAAGCATAAAAGCACACTCGTTGAATTTATAGTTCTTGGATCAGATTGGCCTGATTATTTTCCTGACTTAGTATTGGAAATGTCGTGGTTGTGAGAAAATGGTGCAACTTTGGATATATGCAATTTAAAACTATTATTAGACGATAATTTTGCGATTCCATTCAAAAAAGTAAAATATGAACCTAATGCAGAATAATGATTATTTGAAGCAGTGATCATTAATATGCGTAATTTTATTTTTTGTTAAAGATACAGCATATATTATTTATGACGCATTTGGGTGTTATAAATTTACCGAAACTATTAGAGCGGATTCTATATTTCTTAGTGGTAGATAAGTCACTATATCTCACTCTATATATTTTCTGATTGTGGTACAGATGCGGTGCTCCTATTTTATGAAAACGTATCGAGCTAAAGTGGAAAAATAAATGTCACTCTCCATTGAAAAATTTATGAAAATAGTACGAAAAAGACAAAAGCCAGTTTATAGCTCAAATCTAACTCATTTAAAAATTTCAAACTACTATCTACTTTCAGATAAAAAATTCAATGGTATTACGCGTTTATTCCCAAATATAGTCCATTTAGATTTAAATTTTAGTATAGGATTTAGCGATAAAACACTAAATCGAGTAGCAGAGACATACCCCAATCTGAAGTATTTTAATTTGCAAAAGAGTAGGTACGAATGCTCTAATGGTGGGAAAGTGACTGATAAAGGTCTATGTGCAATTGCATAGTCATGTTATAAACTAGAATATCTAAATATTTCTTATTACACAGAGATTATTGGGATATTGATTTGTGATATTATCCATTCTTGCCTAAGGCTTCAACATCTTGAATTTAGCTATTGCGAATTTACTAATGAGATTATCAAAGAAATTGCTAGTTCGTGTCTTAATTTAAAGTATCTCAAATTGAAAGGGTGTGATGTTAGCAAAGAAGCTATAGATCAGCTCGTTTCACTTAATCCAAATTTTTATGTTAAGAATTTCATGTGTACTATAACACCACCCTCTCTTTGTGAATATTCCAGAATGTATGTACTGTCAAGAAGACTGAGAATGTCAGTTGATACACCAAGAGATATTAAGTCTATACATGAATATATTAACGATGGACTGAGAAGAATGAAAGGTGATTTGATCCAGAATACTGATCATCAACCTAGGCAGTGATCATCAGCTTTTTTTGTTTGAAGATATAACATATAATAAGCATTATTTATAGCGCAGGCTTTAGATTAGATATACCGGCAACCTAACAGACGATCACCAAGAATAGAATACTAGCTGATGGTAGTCTACCGATCTAACTAATCTGGAGTAATGATCACCAGTTTGGAAGAATTTTTTTTTGTTGAGCCACAATGCATATACTCATGTGTGACAGAAACAAGCAATGATTAACCTATTTTTCTGATTGAAAATATTTAATCAATCTATTAGCAAAATGTCAGATGACGAGATAGATAACGAGATAGAAGAAGGCTACAATGAATTTATCAAAGAATATGGATTGAGATATGAATAGGATAATGAAGGGAATCCTGGATTTATACCAGAGTAGAAAGAATGGGATGATCTTTTTTGCAAATCAAAATCTATTGGAATACAAAGGCAGTTAGGCATTAGAAGGAGAAAGCGCTTAAGCAATTTGTACATAGTCTGCCTAATGTAAGAAATCCATCATCATTATTCCATGTATTTATACATTCTGATGCTTTCTATCTTCCACATATTTTGAGTCTGATAGAATTGCCATATTATCTGCATAAACTTCGATGGGAAATATGGTCAGAAGGTATTGAGAAACCCTGATGTAGATTGCTTATTCAAGGTGAAGAATCAATGGTGGATTACTGTTTAAAGGCAAAAAAATGTAATGATATCGTCAAACTCTGTAAAGGTTATTTTAGAAGTGAATTCTATAGTGAATTAATACGAGAAAATATGAGATGTATTGCAAAAAATGATTATTATCGTGAATTGGTAGAAATGCTTATTCAAGCGGAAAAAGAGTCAGTGATTGGTATTATAACTGGGTTTAAAGATTATATTTGTCAGTCCAGTATTGCTAATCTGAATGGAATACAATACTTATTGAGAGGCATACATTGGATAACTAACCCGAACAAAGGTAGTCTAGAGCAATAATCTTCAGCTCAAAAGAATTTGCTGAACCACATTGCATGTACTCCTATGCGATAAAAATATGTGGATCACTAGACAGGGTTCATGTAACATTAATCTTGCATATACATTTGAAAAGAAAACATATTAACCTTTATTCTTTATTTTTCCCAAACAAATATGAGAAAAATATAAAAGAGCGTCTAGTTGCAATACAGGACTTACCCTACAAGTAAATAGTGCCAGTAAAAACATATGTTATAAAAGGCTAAAGGACTTGCAATTCTGAGATCACTAGGTGTAAAACCAATTATATGTCTTTTCAGTAGATCTCCATGTGAAAAAGGTATGAGATTCCATTTGCATGTGCTTTTATAGAGCTCTTGACATCAGACGACAATGCTAATAATGTCTCATACCTCCTTAACTTTTCCCAGCAAGATATAAAGCATGTAATGGTATATGAAAGTTCAGCTAACTTTTCGCAAAAAACATTCCTGTAAAAAATAACGCAAAATAAGATATGTACAGTATATGTTCTTTAATGCGAGTGGGCTAAGCAATTTTCTCACTATGGATTCTTGCATTTAGGAGTCGAAATGAACGATAACAACATTACTCTCAATTGTCTTATCGTTCCTATAGGAAAACTTATGAATATTCCATGCATTAAAGTAATGTAATCGATTACAATTCGCAGAAATGGTAATTATAGTAATCTCAAGACTGCAATTCAAAGCAGATTAGAGGCACCATTTAATCAAATCCCTCTCAAAATTTGTATAATTTAAGCTGGAAGCACTATTGAAAGAGAAATGGCCATGAATGAGGATTTTATCGATATTTTTGATGAGGAACCTAAAGCAGAGCATTTCCATTTCACTGTATACCCCAAATAATTTTCTGTATCATGTAGCGATATATTTGCAATTTTTATGTAATGTAGGCCAGCTTCTGATAACGTTTTTTTTATTTCTTAAATAAAGTATTATTTTACCAGAAATAGGTCACGTGTAATGATGCAGTCCCAAAGGGACCATGCAATACCTGTATGATATAAAAATATATATTAGCGCTTGTTTTTTCCCATCCTAAAATTTTATTTCACTCTGAAAAGTAACACTATTTTTTTGTCCGAGCCTAATAATCATATAAAAGTGCTATATCTACCTCAACAGCTGAACACAACTCTTACTTGGTTGAGAACTGGGATACAGAGACCCTTATCGATTATTTGAAAGAGCAGAACCTCAAGCTCGACGATGATGACTTAGAAATACTTCACAAGCAAAAGGTTGACGGCCAGGCCTTTCTTGAGTTAACCAAAGAAGAGCTTTTAGCGTCACTATATAATTTTTCTGGTGGACCTGCAATAAAACTTGCCAAAGAAATTAAGGCCCTTAAAGAAAAGCTGAAGCGAGCGTTCTCCTCATACCGCAGTTTGAAGGTGGTGTTAGCGAAATATGGCATTGATGGTAACAGTATAGACACCATTCATCAGTTTTTACCAGTAAGTTTTTTAAATACCGCTTAGCCTCAGAATTTATACGAAGATACTTACTCCTCTCATTTTTCTAAGTGATCTATAAACTCAAAGACGACGACGAGAAATTGGTACAGAGTATAAAAGAAATAAAGTGCAGATTGGAAAATATAGGGACTATGCTTGCCGATAGCAATGAAGTCATGCGTTGCAAGTATATTTTGGCCATTCTTCACGCTTCGCTCTATATCGTCAAAAGAATAACCAAAAAAGAGCTTACTTTGGCACCTCAGCTCGAAGTTGTCAGCGAAGAAAATACTGGTCAAGTTGATTATGCAATCAAAGCCCTTGAGGAACTTATTTGCATTACAGAAGAGAAGCTATATCAAGTGGTTATAGGTTTTGCTCAGAATTTGATCTAATGCGAAAGTGTATTACAGGTGAATAAGAATTAGAGAAAACGTGAGTCAGGCGAAGCATTTGGAAATGATTACGACTATATCTATAGAATCATCATAATAGCCACGGAATGGTATTTCATTCTTTTTGCCTCGGATGGAATATCTTGTACAAGTAAAAACTAAAAAGCCTCTTAATATCCGTTTTACCAAGTCAGCCCTAAAAGAGAATTCAGAAGAAGAGAAGGAGTTGCGCAAGAATGTGAAGCAGGTAATGGAGGTTATTGTTAGTTTATTGAAGGATAGGGTGGACATAGAAAAGAAGCCAGTAACGAAAAGGCAACTGATTAAAGAGTATTTTGAAAAAGAATAATCATGTATAATAGTCCGCTATCATTAGTATAGAAATGTCATATATCTCCGGGCTACGTCCTAAACATTTGTATTTATTTTTCGTATGTATTAATAAAGCGATTTTACATCTGTCCCGTAATATTGAATAATTCTTTCATGTTGTTAAATGGAATAACTCTTGAACTAATGATCAACATTTCGATAAAATAGTATCATTAGAACCGTCTTGACGAGAGCTTTCCAACGAATATAAGCTCGACCTGATTGGACCAATAGATAACGAGATATTTCAAAAAGAATGATTCCGTAGATCATTGCTAAACGGAGCCGTAATTCCTTAACGCGAATTAGCGATCGTCCGGCCGAAATTACGAAAACGACGGAAACGACGAAAACTATCATAACGATGAATCCGATGGTAACGCCGTTAACAAAATTGAATTAGAACTCTTTCTCGCTCTCTACAATACTCAAAAACTTAGAAAAAACAAAAAATTTATTTTTCGAAGAAAACTTATTTTTTTTATTAAAACTTTTATCATACAATATGTCCCTTGATATTTTTAAACACCTTTTTACTAAAGAAGTCTTAGACTTTCAAAAACTCAAAAATTACATTACGCCTGAACTTGAAAAAAGAGACTTTGCCATTACAGAGTTTTTCTCTTACGAAACACCTGAAGTTTTTTGGCTTGTTAGGAAACTAAATGAAGAATACCTAAAAGCTTTCCCAGCAGAACGTACTGCTCAAGAAATATTTCTTAATAATAATTTTATAGATAACCTCGCGAGATCTTGTGCCTATAATATTCACGAAACAGGAACGAGCGACCATGGAACACATAACACCGAACATATTATTTCAAATACAATTGAAACTGCTCTTCCTATCAAAGAAAATGATGATATTATTTCAACTATCGACGAAGAAGAAATAAACTCACAAATGAACACACTCAACGATGATGTTATGCTTACAGATTCAAATCTTACAAGACATAATAATCTTCCTTCTTTACTCTCGTCTTCTCACGCCCTACAACAACTTCCTGAAAAAAATCATAACAAACCGTTACGTAATAATCACAACAATGATAATAATAAAAAACAAACTTACGCGTCTATTTTACAACAAAACAAAAATAATAATAATTTAGACGCGTCCGTAGATCACCCAAGCAGAAATAACAATATTGATGCATCTTTACATAACCCAATCAACAATAAT